TTTTCTGCTCCTCACCCCACCCCACCAGCGAGCAGGCAGGGGGTGCACAAGGAGCTGGGAGGGGACACAGCCGGGACAGCTGACCCCAACTGACCAAAGGGATATTCCACACCATATGATGTCATGCTCAGCGTGTAAAGCTGGGGGAAGAAGAAGGAAGGGGGGGACATTCAGAGTGATGGCGTTTGTCTTCCCAAGTCACCGTTAGGCGTGCTGGAGCCCTGCTTTCTTGGAGATGGCTGAACACCTGCCTGCCCATGGGAAGGAGTGAATGAATTCCTTGTTTTGCTTTGCTTGCGTGCGCGGCTTTTGCTTTACCTCAACCCACGAGTTTTCTCGCTTTTACCCTTCTGATTCTCTCCCCCACCCCACCAGGGGGGAGTGAGTGAGCGGCTGTGTGGGGCTTGGTTGCTGGCTGGGGTTAAACCACAACAGTCCTTTAAAGTATACTTCCCCCCCTGGTATTGCATATCACAAGTTTGTATAAAAATGTCTTTTGGGGTGTGTTTTCAATTGTGCACATCACTGCGTGATTTGCGTGATCAGTCATAGCAACTGCGTGTAGGGGAAAAAAGAAACAAACATGCCATTCCTAATCAGCTCGAGTGACCACAGGGGACGAGTACAACCCTGAGGCCAGGATTAATCCCTCTGGACTTCAGGCATTCCAGCGTATTGCCTGACTTGGGAGCACGGCTGCTCTGGGTTCCTCTAGAGAGGAAGACGGCTCTGAAACTGCTCTGGTTGTCGATGGGAGAAACTTTTTTCTCCATTCATTTGAGATGGAGGCCAGAGCACACACATCCTCACACTAGGGATTGGCTGGGATATGCTAGTCGATTTAAGAAATTATGCAATGGCGGGCAGATGTTTGTGTTCTGCCACAGTGATTATAGGAGCTTTGTTTCCATAAGAAATCAGGCCAAAAGTTTTATTCTGTAGAACAAAAACCAGCACGTACTGAAAACAAATAGTGTGCACAGAGTTTTCTCTGGGGAGAGGCTGAGGGAAGTAACCATGCGACAGATGATGTTCAAGATCCCTTCACAGACTGCTGCACTCATGACCAGGCTGTTTGGGCTGCCATAAGCAAAAACACAGACCTGAAATTTAGGTCTATGCAATGAAACTCTGGTGACATCCATACAGTAGTCAAGAAAAAACCCACTAGACTTTGTCACAGTTTTCCCAGGAGGGAAAAGCACTGCATATCAGTGAAGCTTAGAAAACTATAGTGCATAAAACTATAGTGCACTGAATTTCATAACTAATAATTCAAGCAGTGCTAATTTTGTAATCACTCTTACAGGTTTGATTTCGGCTGTAGCAGCCTGACCTGACGGTTAGCAGTGAAGGGGGCAGTGAGCAGCAAGCACTGCATTGCGCTCCAGAGATTGAGATTGAGACTTGGGCATCTGTACAAAGAGAGCGTGTAGTTCTACAAAGAAATGGGGATCACTGGGTCATTGCTGTGTCCTGGTTCTCCTCAGCCCTTAAAATGTCATTTGTGAGCCTTTGCAAGTTAGACCAATCTTAATGCCATGCTGAGTGGAGCTGGAGGTGGTGCAGCCCTCGGTTAGCCTCAGGATTTGGGGTGAAAAGCGACCTAGAGACCATCTTTGTTATTGTCTTTTGGAGTTGTGCTCGAAGTACAATTGTCCCTGAGACTACACTCCCATACTGTAATTACATCTGCTTCATTTACAGAATACCGTGTATTATATTTGTAGCCTGAGTTTTAAATGAGGTTATATTATTGCTGTAATTGAGAGGAACTAGGACAAGTTTTATTAATTTCCTGCCACAGAATACTGAGTAAGCCAATATTTTATGGGAAAGTTCAGGGAGAAGAGTAATATATGTTACATTTCTGAATTCCGGAGGATACTTGAAGAGTTTTACTGGCAATTGATTTTTCTACAGGTAAATTGTAATCCTTGATAGGCAGATGTGCCCTGAATATAGTGTCTCCACTGAGATGCACTCAGTAAGGGTACGATGAAATGGAAGCAGAAGGTGTATCAGCTCTGCTCTGACAGGCGGTGAGAAATTGGAAATCCTGCCTGTAGAAGCTACCTTTCCCTCAGCTAAGGCAGCTGTTACTGTATTATCTACATTACTCTGAATGCTGAAGGTTCACAGAAATATTTAGCATATGAGTATCTGATTAAAAAAATCAGTAATTTGACATGTGTTTTTAGAAATTATTTCTCTTTATAGACACTACTTTGTCCTGGTCTGTGTTAACTTTTACCTACCATTGTTTTCTATAATTCCCTAATTGTGCTATGTTTTTGTAAGTCTTTAGCTTTCTGTATCTCTGTGCAATATCAGCTAAAGATTTAAAAATTGCACTTGATGTTCAGTGCTGGTAAATGCTGCTGAGCTCTTGAGCTGACAGGCCTTTGCGGAGAGGTCTGTGGGATGCCCCTGGTTGCGTAGCCCTTAGGGGCCTTAGGGCTCAGGTAGTTCGAGGAGGAGGCAGCTCTGTCTGCAATGACGACGTCCCTTTGCTGGGGCTCCTGTCCTGCGCTGCTGGGGGTACTTTGGGTGAGCGAAGGGGGGTGGTCGCTGCGGCCTCGGAGGAAGCAGCAGCAGTGAAAGGAGAAGGGACTGACCCTGAAGATGAGAGACCACCTGCTTTCAGTTGTTCTGGTGCTTGTTCTTATAGGCGAATTAGTGGAGAGATTTTCACACTGTTGGTTTTACATGCCCCTGATGATCTGTGTGCTGCAGCGTGCTACTGCTTTGCATCATGTAGTCACAGAGGTTATGGTGTGTTGGGGTTCAGTGTAAAAACACCTGCTTAAACCTGCTGATGTGGCATACACAATGTGGTTGCTGTATCCTTTTTCTTCTCTTAAACGGTAACATCACAGAAACACTTTGCTGATACTGAAGTTGCTGAAGTCAACATAGTAATGGCAGTGTAAAAGTGCTGAAAATATATGAGCCAGTGGTACCACCTTCCCCTCTGACAGCCGGTTTACTCTGCAGTGCTTTTGGCCTTTCTTTGGGAAGGAACAGGCAAATAAATGCTGAGGGGGTGGCTGGACAGCAGAACTGCTGCTGCTCTGGGAGGATTTTGACACTTCATTTCTTAGCAGTATGGGCTGTTCATGTTTCGGGTCTTTTCTTCATGCTGCAGTGGTTCATGGAGACTCCTTCATTCATCTCCTCACTCCCCGAGTGGCTTTAGGCCATATCATTATCTTCCTGTACGTGCAAAGGAGAGATCTCGTAAATATGAAGCAGTGCCCTGAGAACAGCAGCGTCCCAGGTGTTGGTTAGGCAGGCTGTGGTACCCGGCCAGGGCTGATATCACGTCTCACAGGAGTGGTTATTTCTGCTTCTGTTCCTCTTGGGTACTCATTATTCAAGGGGAAATCAGCTGTCCTGCCTTAGTCACTGCTGGTTTTGGATTGTGGGCTAGCAGACTAGTTTGCTGCTGGTACAATGCTGCAGCAGAGTTGTCCATCATCACAGCTCTGCTGCCAGTGACACTTCTCAAAAGAGCTTTGTTTGTCATGTTGTCCTACGGATGTAACCAATGACCCACTTTTCACTCTGGGGAGCAGCTCCGCAGCTGCACCGTCAGGGAGACTCATGTTCCACACGCAATACCGAGCTCCAGGAAAGGTCTGCTACTGTGAACACTGCAAGAGAGCATTGGCAGGAAGGTCTGAGCGCTGCTAGCTGTGAGTTACCCTCCTGCAGTATGTGGAGCGCTTGTTCTCGTACCGGCTGAGCATGGTGACCAGGTTGTCAGACCTCCCCAGGATAAATCGCAGCTGATGGCTGTGGAGCTGCGAAGCACATGGTCAGATAAACAAGATTTAACTGGGAAGCATGAATCCCCGGCAGGCTGCTGACTCAGAGTTCCTCGTTGTTTGATTCCTTGAGCACCTAACCCGTTACTTACCACTGCGCCTCACGGGGTTTGTGTAGAGAAAACCTGAGCATGGTGATGTGGATGCTTGATTTTTCTGCCACATGTAGTGAGCAACAGTGGGATCAGTTGTGGCAACAGGGAGCTCCAGTTGCTGATTGTTTCTTAGCTGTTCAATAAATTTAAGATGTTCCATTAAGCAGATGGCTGTGGAGGGCATCTTTTAGATGTTGTACATTGGTGACGTGTGTATTTAAAATTCGGAAGTGAATCCACTTGAATGAGTCATCCTAGTTGGGTGGAGGAACCTGTACTGTTACATTTCTGGTTAAAAACTGGGAGTTAGCTTTAACGTGTTTCATGTTTACTCTGGATGCCAGTTCTTGTGGGCCTGTTTTTTTGAACGGCCTGTGTGGCCGAGAGCACCTGCCCTTCACCAGGAGGGCTGACAGGTAATTGCGCCAAGTCCCTACTCTGCCACCCCCGGCAGTTGGGGGTGGTGGTGGTGGTGGTGGCAGGTTCACCAACCTGGCAGTCTTCTCTGGTTATGCAGAAATTCTTCCAAATATGCCCCTCCATGAATGAGCTGGTGCAGTGGCACGAACTCAGGACATGCCTAGTAGCAAACGCACACTTAGAGCTGTGCTGGGTTAAAAAAAGCCAACACACACCACACCCCCAAAAAGTATGGTTTTGCTGGTGCACATACTGAGTCTGGTGGATTTAAAGCAAGTTTAAGACCTGTTTACCTTAATTTAGTCCTTTAAGCTAAAGTGGAGAGGCACATGAGTGGGAAACATCCTGGCAGTGGTAACTACAGCCCCTGCCATATGCTGTAATCTTGCCCCATATCTAAAAGCATTTTGTCTCCTCCTGTCACACTCTGCACATCTGCGCTACCACTCCGGTCGGACCAGAGCACCAAACCCAGCCATCCAGGGAGTTATCCCATGAATTTCAGCATGTTACAGGTCCTGAGAGTGTCCTTCCCATAAAATATCTTATTCTGGCTGAAACCAAACATCAGAAATTCACATCTGAGTAAGCTGGCAATGATTTTGGGAATCCCTCTTTAGCAAAACCGTGTCTACTCAAGAAGGAAAGTCTTGTGTTAGGGTCTGCTCGCTGAGGAACGGGGTGCCAGCCTTGGGTGAATGTGCCTGAAGGAATCGCTCCTGGCCTCATTCCGGGTCAGCGGACCCATAGGTGTCTGAAGCAGAAGTCTCTTGTGCGTCTGTTCAGGCTCCACTGCCCCGCTTGCTCTCCCAATCAGCGGTACACAAAGCTGTCCTAACAAGAGGGAAAGCCAGAGAGCGGTTGCCTTATTTCTTAAACCCATGCATATTAAGATTTAAGGAGCAGTGATTGAATGCTACAATCAGTTATTTTATTACCCAGACACTGTCCCAGGAAGGGCAGATAACATCTAAAGCACTAGGAAGGTGGCAAGGAAGAAAATAAAATTAAAATCTTCTGCTTGGTTTTCTTGAGGTTTTCCCCTCAGGCCCTTCAGCAGGGCAAACATTACCCCTGGATTACTAATGGCAGAGGGGAGTACACCTTGACGGCAGCGGAGTGGTGTATTAGGGTATTTTCTCTTCATTAGATGAAAAGTCCAGCTTTTGGATTCAGGCTAAAAAAAAAAAAGTATTCATCCTGCTAAGTAGATTGGAAGAGAATCCAGATTAAATAAATCATTAAATCATTCCAGAATGTTATCCACCTGTTCTGGCCTGTAATTTATTTTCAGATGAACAGTAGATAAAAAAAAGGCAATACAAAGGCAAAAATTATTTTCCCCTAACAGAAGCTTTGATCCTGAAATGACACCTGTCCTGGAGAGCTGCTTGTGCAGCTTTTGAGATCATTTTGACCTATTGCTCCAACCCATTGCTTCAGAACCTCGATAGCCACATAATGCTAAAACTTCCACCGTAGCCACCGTGGAAGGGGGATCTCCAAGGCTTTTGCTGCTGCGAGGCCAGTAAAAATCATCCCTTTAATGTGGGATGGGAAACCTGTAGGGGGACAGGACATCTGTTTGAGGGGACAGTAAAGTACCAGCCAGCTGGGGGTGAGAGGTCCCAGACCATTTCAGTGTCATGGCCACTCTCCTCGTGCTGGTGCGGGAATAAAGGAAGGTTTCTTCTCTCCTACGTTCCGGACAGGAGGGTTGTGCTTCAAAAGGCTGGGAAGCGCAGATCTGGGTGGTTATTTGTGTTGTCCAGAGCGTCTCATGACTCCCGAAGGGTTCCCGGTGCTCTCCAGCAGAACCAGCATGTTTTGTGCTGCCCGCGTTGGCTGGGGATGGGAGGGAGGTGAAGTGCTGGGAGCGGGTGACCGAGGACCGGAGATGGGAGGACAGCACCGGTGCTGGGAGCGCGGGGAAGGCGGTGAAAGGTTGTTATCGTCCAGCTCTTCCACACCTCCTCTCCGCCCCAGCTGCAGCTGAAAGCAACCACAGCCTGAGACCCCCCCATTTCATGTCTCTCTGGTGTATATTTAAACCCTCTTTCCCAGCTCGGTGGCCAGTTTTCAAATTAATTCTCCCATTTGCTGAATGCAACAAGGTTAAAGCAGGAATCCGTTGCAGCAGCCCGTCTGGGGAGGGAAGAGGGGGCAGAAACCCCTCACCCGAAAGCGTGCGGGTGTCGAGAGGCGGGCGGGGGACGCCCGTCATCTCTGCCCTCCGCTTGCCGGGGCCGCTTCGCTCGTCCGTAAATCGGGCTGATTGGCACCGAGCGGCTTATTGCCGGCCCCCGCCCGCACCGCCGTTCA